TAAAACCAAATCAAATAAAACCAAAAATTTAGCAAGGCTGCCAGTGTCATTGAATGAGAAGCGAATATTTTCTTCTGAGTGGTGCTTTAATAATTATATATACATAACAGTAAAGTTGGAACCCCCACTTCACAGAATATATAGGAATTAACTACAGATAAACTAGTGAACTAAATATGTAATCTAAAACCATGAATACTTAGAAAACATAGGTTAAATCTGATGACATTTGAACTTTGCAATATGACAAGTTTTCATAGATGTGACAGCAAAACATGAATAACAGAATAGATACATTTGTAAAACAAAACTTGTTTATGAAAAGATATTAAGAAAGTGAAAAGGCAGCCTGTAAGATTGAAAATATTTGCCAATTTTATAACTAATAAAGGTAAACTAGGGGCTGGACAGATGGCTCGGCGGTTAAGAACATTGCCTGCTCTTCTGAAGGTCCTGAGTTCAATTCCCAGCAACCACATGGTGGCTCACAACCATCTGTAATGAGGTTTGGTGCCCTCTTCTGGCCTGCAGGCATACATGCAGGCAGAACACTATACATCATAAATAAATAAATATTTTTTAAAAAGGTAAACTATCTGGAATATTAGGAGAAAAATTTAACATTAGACATGATAGTTCATTCCTGTAATCCTAACACTTAGGAGGCTGATTCTGGAGGATTGCAGTGAGTTAGAAGAAAATCTCAATTGCATAATGAATTCAGCTAGGCCGCACCATGACTTCATTGCCAAACTTTGTCTCAAACAAGTCTTAATATTGGATCTGGTGGTAAATCACTATAATCTACCAGTATTTGTTAGGTGGAGGCAGGAGAATCAGAAGTTCAAGATTACCTTGGCTGCTGAGCAAGTTCAGTGACAACCTGGCCTACATGGGATCCTGTCTCAAAACATCAAAAACAATAAAGACAAATTATCAATAAAAAAGATGAGTGAGCCAGACATGGTGGTGCATATCTTTGATCCTAGCACTCAGAAGGCAGAGTTAGGTAAATCTCTATGAGTTCAAGGCCAGTGTGGACTATATAGTGAGTTCTAGGCCAGATAGGGCTACACAGTGGGACTGTCTTAGTAAAGAAATGAGAAACAGGAATCACCAATGTAATAATATAATAATGAAATTGTTGACATGTCAATATATTTATAGATAGTTTTAAAAAGCAGTAATAAGGAACTAGGGAGATGTCGCCATAGCAAACTATATAATACTCCTATCCAGAGAATAGAAGACCAAGATTACCAAGAATGTCATGAACTAAAACTGGCCAGTGGTATCAGAGTGGCTCTGATCAGTGATCCCACCACAGACAAGTCATCAGCAGTACTTTTGAACATAAATTGTTAGACTCTCCAAATATTTCTGGCTTAAGTTACTTTTTGAACATACGCTGTGTGGTAAATATCATAAAGAAAATGAATATAGTCAGTTTCTCAGTGAACATGATGGAAATCAAAGTGTCTTTTCTTAGCAGAAAATGCACCAATTACTATTTTAATGTTTTCAGTGGACAACAAGAAGGAACCCTGGACAGGTTTGCTAGTTTTTCCTATGCCCCTTGTTTGATTCTAGTTGTAAAGATAGAGAGGTGAATACAGTTAATTCAGAACATGGGAAGAATGTGATGAATGACACCTGGAAACTCTTTCAGTCAGAAAAAGCTACAGGGGA